GTTCCGCCGCCGACCCGGCAGCCGCAGCCCCAGCCCCAACCGCAGCTCCACCCGCAGCCACAGCCCCAACCCCAGCCGCTCCACTCCTTTCCGCATCCGCACCCGCACCCGCACCCGCACCCACATCCGCACCCACAGTCGCTCTCGCAATCGCACGGTCACCGGCTTCTCCGCAGCACCTCCAACTCTGCCTGAAGGGGGCAACACCCGGGCCAGACGCGGTAAGGGCCGGGCGACTCTAACAAACCGGGCTTTGAGACTAAAGAAGGGATGGGCGAAGTGGAGGGGTGGGTGGAGGAGTCTGACCATGAGTTTGGCTCTTGGGTGGAGAATGAAAAAAAAAAAATCCCCAAGTTTCTAGGAAGGTGGAAAAATGGGAAGCAAGCTGGAGATAGGAGAGTCCCGGGCAGCGAGGGGGAGAGGGAGTGGGCCGGGTGGGCAGGCACCTCGAGTCGCCTCCCCACCGGACTTGTTGGGTGTTGTGCACCGTAACTGCACCGGCGTCCCAGCGCTTCTCGATGGTGTCTGGGTAACTCGAGAACCTCCCTGCTGGGTTTCTGAGCGAGTCTGGTCTGTCAAGCTGGCCCCGAAAGAACTGGATCCGGGAAGATCCTGAGCCACCCACTTCATTCCATGTCATTTCTTTCCAGGTTCTGAGGATTTGAGGAAATGGGACCAGCACATTTCTATTGTCTTCACTTGATCGAAAACGAAAGTCTCCCGGCCCTTCCCCAGATCCAGTAGTGTGGACATCACCCAGCTTGCGATCTCCTTAGTTTAACAAACTTCATCGAGATGCAGGAAACGATTTCAGTCAAGACTTTTATGAACCTTTGAAACGATCTTCTAGTATGGTGGACCTTCTAGGAGCGATGATGTACTGTAATTTTATTTTAATGTATTTTGATTTATGATTATTTATTAGTGTTTTTTTTAATGCTTGGTTCTAAGACGTTTCTGAATGTAGGCCATTTCCCAAGAAAGAAACCTTATGTTCAAAAAAAACGTGTTCCCTAGTAAGTCCTAATTTTGGAAAAGTACAAGGGCGGTGGGGGGGAAACCATTAAGAACTCATTCATTATTCTTAGGGCATTTTCAGAAGGTCGGATACTTTCATTGTTACATCAGGTGGTTGAAATTAAATTCTTGTGATGAGTTTTTTTTGTGGAGTTTTTTCCCCCCCCTTTAGCCACATTTATGTAGAATAGAGGTCAAAAGAAGCAAAAAGGTTCCGAATTGTATGTAACTGTGGAACTCTAATGCTCAAGCTGCTGCTTTTTTAAAGGATCTCATTAGCAATGGTTTCTGGTTTCAGAATCCCATTTAAAGTATAATTCAGCTCATAGCAGTATAATGGCATCTTGACCATGTGTTGTAGGAGAAACCTTGCTTTTACCTTGTGTGTGTGAAGAGTTTAATAAGTTCTTTTGACTGTGATTTATGAGTATCAGTGCATTCGGTGTCTTCTTTTTTAAGAAGTAGTGAGGGGTGGGAAAGAATCATTTCTCTTGAGAGAACGTGTTTGCCCCTTGCAGGCTGTCGCTACCGCTCTCCAGGAGCAAGAGCTCATACACGACTTGAACCACATTTCCCGGTCCTCTGACTTCATTGTAGAAACACACTGGAGAACATACTGCGTTTAGATACTTTTTGTAAAGATTTAGAAGGATTTGGGGTCATAACCTTCAGTTTTGAGAATGAAAACAACGTTTATCAGCAAAACCAGCGGTGTTGGTTTTTATTAACTGAGAAATTTGAGGGTTATGCATTTTGTTGCCAGGTTAAGCAAACTCAAGGCATTGAAAAGGGCAGCCCTAGAAAAACACTTGGTTTTCAGTTCAAAAGGAGCCCACTGCTCGCCTTGTTTTAGAAGCCACTTATTTAGGGATCTTGGGGAATAAAAGGAGGATGTGCTTTTGAAGGTAGAACAAATGGTCTTCTGTGTTAAATCAGAAGGATGGTCAGAATCTGCACATGCAGATGAGAGCCATAGATGATGCCCGTCCTTTGGGCTTTAAAATCCATTCCTATCTGCATGCTTTTAGGAAAAGATCTCTTGAGTTTTCCAAGACTTTTCTATGTAAAAGTCTTGGTCAGGATTTTTCTAGCGTTCATTCTGGAATGATCAATATCAGGCCAGTATTAAGTACTTTAGAGATGAAAACAATTGCATTTTTGGAGCTATCTTTATTCTTCCTGCAGCTAGAAAGGAGTTTCAAGGTCAAATGATTTTTTTTTCATGTTACATTTAAATGATGAAATTTTAAGGTCACAACTCATCCCAATAGTGGGGAAAAGGAAAACTAGTGCAGTGGTGAACAGAGGCTGTTTTGATTGCAGATGGTGAAGATACTCTGCTGAGGTTTAAAATCATAGCTATCTGATGCTTAGAGAACCCAGTGCAAGGAGACTTCTTAAATCTGGTTCAGTTTCCTTACAACTACTGTACTTTTGGGAGAATGACCCATAAATAGTACTGCAGTTGTAATACAATAGGTCATCATAGCCCAAATTAACAGGCTCCCCCACCCCTAGATGAAGGCTTTTCCTTCCAAATCCATGTGCTTAAAAAATTCAAAACAAAACCCACATTAAATACCTTTAAGTTAAATTTCAAGTAGCTTCTTAAAAAGGCATTTATATGTTGTTAGCTTTCATATAGGGCTAGGTGGTCTCACTGTCAAAAATATGCCCAGGCTCTCTCCTAGCTGCTGGAATTCTTTTTCCTCTCAGCCATGGTTCATAATGGACTCACCACTATGCTGGTTTCTGGTCTTTGCTCAGCACGTGCACCTTGTTCAGCGGTGATATTAATGCTGGGTGGTCTCACTGTGGTTCTGTAGGTCAAAAACCCTGACATTCCATGATGGTGAGACCTCTGCATTAGAAAAGAGGGAAATAGGGTGTTTTCTGTTGTTTTGACATTTGTAAATTATTGTGATTAGATCATTTTCCCAGAGCACAACTCCCTCAAAACTAAAACAGGACAACCAACTGAAAAAAGCAGGCATGCTTAACAAAACAGAATAGAAGGACAACATTCGAATCACTTGTCTCAGTGGCTTTATTCTACCTGTAAGGAAATTATGATACCTGCCCTAACAAACCACCAAAGGTATCATGAGATCTGGCAAATTAGCTTGGGGGGGTGGGGTGGCAGGGCCGGGGAAGGTAAAAATAATTCTTTAAGCACAAGACAGTAAGGAACAAAAGGGCAGGTCCAATAGAAAACCCATGCTTTACACTAACATAAAATGTAAGAAACTAGAAAGTTAAAGAGAATATCCCATCTGGATATTGGACTTTTGTCCTTGAACTTGTGTTGGCCTACTTAGTGATCACAATAACTATTTGATGAATGACTGAAAGAGGGAAATGTAACTCCCAAGTGCCTGGCAGGTGGTTTCTCTTGGTTTAGTGCTCCATGTACTGTATTCATGTCCTCTGAGAAGTAGCTCATACTAGGCTAAGGATTTCCAGGAGCCTCTTACACATACTATCCTAAAATGGAAATCCACTATACGAGGAATGCTGAGGTCAAGGTAATAGCTGCCGATTCTGATTTATAGGACTGGTGGAACTTTGGCTGTGAGATAAGCACTAGGTGGCTAACCACAAGGTCAGCGGTTCAACCCACCAACTGTTTAGAGGGAAAAAGATGAGACGGTCCCAGTAAAGATTAGAGTCTCAAAAATCCTAAGGAGCAACCCCTGTCTTACGGGGTTGCTATGAGTCAGAATGAACGTGGTGACAGTGAGTTTGGGTTTTATTTAGCCTCTATGGAAACATATTGCTGCAGTTTTCTCAGAAGTTGCTGGTAGGTTTGAACCACAGCTTCAAACCATTTCACTTCAGTTTGGCTACGTGCTGCGATCTTAAGCTGTAGCTGCTGATTCAATATATCTGGGGTGGGAAGGCTGCTTGAAGAAGTGAAATGACCTGGTTGGAAGTGCCAGCCTTTCTGTTAGCAGTGGAGTGCTTAAGCACTGTGCTACTAAGGGCTCCTCATAGTGGTTATCACTCTTTCAGGAGGACCATCCCCCCGCCCCGCCCCCCCCCAGAGAGCAAGTCAGGGTTCTTTCACTATGTGGAAATCAAGCCAATTTGATCCCGGCACTAAACCGATGGGTAGGGTGGGTTAGAGGGGGGAGAAGACCCCTTATCACTTAATTAAAGGCATTTTCCTTCCATGTGGATATTGTTAAGATGAAGAGCCAAGATAAAGCCTGTTGTAAATCCTCTCTGTCATCACATAACAAAGCCTCTGTCTTTCTATTAAAGATCCCCAATTTAAAATCTGACCCGAAAAGTGCTGTCAGTGTGTGAGTTCAGACACAGCGCTTGCTTTTTTCCCCCAGGGAAAGAGGTTTAGCTGGGCTCCAGGTGTTACAGGAGGACCATGTTCAGTAGCTGGTTAGAAGAGGGGGTCTGGGGGAGCCTGGAGCAGCAATTAGAGCTTTGTGCAGTGAAGTTACGGAGCTTCATTTTTAATTCATCAGTGATTCAAGAGAAACATACCTATTTATCTAAAGCAAGATGTAGGCTTTGTGGAATTGTGTTGGATGGGTTTTTAAAAACTGCTTTTTAAATTCTTTTTTTCAACTTTTTATTATGGATTTGGTGGTGATCAGTTCAGATAATCCATTTTTTTAAAAAAAGATGATCCATTTTGTATTCAACAACTTAAACAATTTATCAAGCCCTCCCTTGGAATAGTATCTTCCTCTTCACCCAAGTGAACACCTGCCTATCCTAGCCTTTCCATTTCGTTCCCACTGGCCACAGGTATCGTCAAAGTCTGCTTCTTTTGTTGTGGAAAACCTTTGCCAATGTTCCTTTATGACAGTGGTCTCATACAATATTTGTTCTTTTGTGACTGACTACTTTCACTAGCAGAATATTCTCCAGGTCCACCCATGCCTGCCTTCTCAATTCTCAACTGTTTTGAAGAGGGATCTTTGGATCTGCAGATTTACATCACACGATTGCATGATAAAATGGTTTTGGAGCCCAGGACCCAACAATTTTCTTAGAATTTCTAATGAAGGAAATAGAGGAGTTCTGGGCCCTTAGAAGCATTTGCATAAACACTGGTGGCGCCAGCTACTTAGTGCC